AATTGTGCCCACCTGTTTTGATTCTCAGTCACTAATGGTCTGTCAGAACTGGCAGCTGTCTTGGGATCGCCTTACTTAGGGGCACACAAATATTTCTGCTGCTTCTCATTCTTCCTCTGTAGGAACATCCGTGGTCCATCTGCCCAGCTGTACCAGGCCAGCATTCCTTGCTGGCATCACACACACCCCTGCCAGGGCTCAGTCCAGGAAGCAGGCTTCAGGTGTCTCCGCTCTGTACCTCGGATGTCTTCTCCGCTTCCCTGCCACAGCCACACCCACCCCCATGTCTGGGGTTTCCTTTATGACTCTGCGGGGAGGCCAGATTCTCTTCTTCTGTTTCCCCAAAGGTTAATCTATACCCAGATCTCCTCCACCCTCCTCATGGTTTAGGCTTCTGGAAACCACACCAAGCAGAGACTCAGCTCCAGGCCCCTTCTGCTCTTCTCTCTGCCATGACCCTCCCTGTGACAATGAGCTCAAAGCCAGGCTGTATTTAGATGGAAGGTAAGGTAGAAGAAACAAGTAGGGAAAAAGTAAAAGAACAGAAGCTAAGACTTCAAACATACTATCCCTTGCTTAAGGATTAAATAAAATAGCATGTGAAAGAACTTGTGTTTCAAGGGCCTAACAAATGATGGTTATTTTTTTCCCTCTTACCTGTTGGACACATTGCCTATATCAATTGTTTGAAATGAATCATATCCTGCCTTAGAATATCTGTCATACTGGCAATTTACTCATATTTTTATTTTATTTTCGGTCTATATGTTATTCTCTCAAATAAATGTAAGCTCCTGAAGACCATGGTTCACATCTTAAATTAACTGAATCTAACAGAAGACTAGTCATACAGAAAATGCTTTAAAAATGGGTGCAGATCTAGCATCAGAAATCCAAAATCATGTTTGCAAACATTTATGGAAGATTCTTTATGGAAAAAATGAGGTTATTTTAAGATTATTCATAAGCATGTTTATGTCTAATTGTTAACCAACAGAGGAGTCACGTGGCCTTATGCAGACACCCTAGATATTCAAAGGAAAGATTTTTTCAATGCATCTTTTATTTTTTTTAAATCCTGCATCACAACCACCCGAGTGGAAATATATTTCAAATTTTATACTGGCCTATTGAAAAATGCTCATTGAATCAATTTCCTGGAGCCTTGTCACTGATAAATAGAGTACATCACACATCTGATATTCTTGAGTCAAAAATGTAGAACATGAGTGTATTTTGCTGAGAGAAGATGGCTTGTAGGAAACTGTCTTAGCATTCAAGACAGCACAAAGTTTGGCCTTTCAGGCTAAAGCTGCTGAGTGATCAGTTGAAGAGGGCTACAGGATAGATCCTAATGGGCTTTCTCAGTCTCATTCTAGGCCTGGTTGCCCAGCACCACCAGGAAAGCTCAGCTGGTCCTGTGCATGGATGGATGTATTCACACTATAGGAACATATACTTTACCACTTCCTACCGGTGTGGCTTTTGGTCACTGACTTCCCCTCTCTAAGCCTAAATTTGTTCATCGATCACTATAGAATGAGTATCTACCTCCCAGCAGTTTTATGAAGATTCCATGAGATGATGTATGCTGAGGATGTCACATGGTATGGGGTACATATTGTATGCCCAGTAAATGATAGTAGTTGTTGTTGGATTTGCTGTTCCAAGGAGGAGGAGGCTAAGAAGAGATCACCAACTGGACGCCCTGGAGAGGGACAGCTCCACTATTCACACACAGGCTCACACCCTCCGCCTGCAGATCAACAGAGATGCCCCTTTGCTGGGACAGGAACATGCTAATGGCTTGAAGGAGCACTTTATGCATGGGGGCACTGAGGATTTAAATCAGAAGACCCCAGTTAGTGTCCCCATAGCCATGGGCCATGTCAACTAATTCCTCAAAGCCAAATCTGTGTAGAGCTTTTTGTAAACTGAGCACCTCAAAAGAAACTTATCCTTTATTTTCAAAGTGAAGATGCTTTGGGTGGCAAGTAGCAACACTTTTGGTCAAAATGGCTCAAACTATAAAGATGGATGAGTGGCACTCCAGGCTGAGAACGTCCCAAGGCAGAGCAGGGAGCAGGGCAGCTCACGCTCTGCTCTTCCCTGCTGGGGCTCTCCTGGCACTGCCCTTCTCCATGCAGGGCCTTGGTCATCACCAGTCTGCTGGCAAGATAGCTGCAGCAGCCAGCCTCCCATCTTCCCAGAACTGAGTCCAGGAAAGAGAGCAAGAGTTTGTTCCAGAAACTTTCAGAAGAGGAAAAATGGAAGCTTTTTATACAGAGGTTGACAATTAATTTATTTCATGATACTGGCCTCAATTTGTTCTCATGATTCTTCTGAATCAATTCCTGTGGCTTATTGAATGCCAGGTGATGGCTTCATCCTGGGTCCCAGGTCCACCCCTCAATCAATAGCGGGTGCAGTAGGGATGGAATAATCTAATTGGCTTGAACTAAAAAGAGTCTGTCTCTGGAACTCAAGTCAATACCCTAAACTTTAGGGCTGCCTTTGCAAGAAGGAAGGAGTGAGATGGATACTGGAAAGACAACCAGTGCCCAGCACTCTGCTGATACTCAACTCACCATCTCCTTCAATTCAAGCAAACAATTACAAAACGTCTGCTATGTGCCAGGCATGGTGCAGGATGCCAGGAAATTGCAAGATGCCCGGTGTTGTTGACAGGAATAAATGAGCCGACTTACGCAAAGTGCCTGTTGCAGCACTCAGCCCCTAACACTTGCTCAGTATTATCTTCATTGAAATGAATAATGCATGAGTGATCCCTGCCATCCAGGAGGGAAACACTCAAACTAATAAATTATAACAGTGTGCACAGAGTGACAAGAGTAAGCCTGCAGGTGGCACAAAGGATAGAGATCACAAGAGGAGGGCGCAAGAGGCCCAACCCCACAAGAAGCTATAGCCCAGTGGTTCTTAACCTTGACTTCACATTTGATTCACCTGAGAAGCTTTTAAAACTCCCCATACCAATTAAGTCAGAATCCCTGGGGATGTGACCCAGCACCAGGCATCAGGTTGTCTTTTTAAGGATCTCCAAATGATTAAAATGTGTAGCCAAGGCTAAAAACCACCACATTTTAGGCTACTGAGGACATAAACACCTACATGCAAACCATTAGCTAACAATGCCAGGTTGTGAGGGGTATGTTAAAATGAACATTCCAAGGCTCAGGGTGGGGAGGGGGCAGGCTCCAGGCAGGGAGAGGGTATGCAGGGAAGGGGACTCAGGGATAAAGGGAGACACATGATGGGCAGAGGGGGATCATGGAGGGTTTCCATGAGCATCAGGAAACAGGAGGCTTACGGGGTCTTGAAGAACTGTGAGATTTGCCTAATCTAAGCTATTTAGGGGTGGTGTCTCAGTGTAAAGAGGAACGGGTTTAAGCAAAGACATATGGGCAGACGTGGAAGGTTTATGGATCTAGATTCAAACAGGAGAGAGAGAACTGTAATTTCAACAGAAAAAATCTTTTTAAAAATTATAAATATGGGGATTGGAGTAACATAGGATTAGTGGGTAAGAACTCTAAAGAGAACTCTAAAGAAAATAGGAGTAAAATATGTAAGGAGCATCCAACTACCCTCAGGGCTGAAGTAGAGCACCCCAGAAAAAGCCAGCCCACCCCCAAGCTGAGGTCTAGACTTGGTTGGCACCGCGTAACTTGAAGAATAGCAGAGAAGTTGCAGGGGTGTCGTGTGTTGGAAATCTGGCCTGTAGGGAGCCAGAGAAGACTTTCACAGAAGGTGTCTCACTGGAGCACACTCCGTTAGCAACTGCTGGCAGCAAAGAGGGCTGGAGAAGCTGCTGGCCAGGTGTTGCAAGAGCCAGGCATTGGGGAAGCTGAAGGAGCCACCAACAGAGCCCAGGAGAACCTGGAGGCAAAATCCAGAAGTGTGTCCTAGGAGTAAATAGAGGCCCAGAGAGCTTATGAAACCTTCCCAGGAAACTAGCAAAGTTAGATTTCAACCCAGGCCCATCTTTTCTATGTGTTGTTGTTCTTCTGTGAACAAATAGTAGTACAAGATCCAGGCTGGGAAGGTTACTCAGAGATGGAAGGAGCCTGTGCTCAGTAAAGTCAGTGAGGAAGGTCTCCTAGGGGAGGCGAGGCTTCAAATGGACCTCAGAGATCCGATTTGGAAAAACAGGGAGAAAAGAGGAGGGAGTGGATTCCAAGCTGGCATTGCAACACAAGCACTTGGAACACTTGCCCACGGGTAAAAGCGGACCTGAGCTCCCACAGGACTCAGCACAACCAGGAGGGAGTATGACCGAAAACAGAAAGCAGGCAATGAGAAGAAAGCCAAAGACAGAAGCACAGGGATCAGGGAAGTCCTCTTATGTCAAAGACCTTGAATTTAAGCACATGTGAAATCAACACATTGTGAGAAAGCCAGAGCTCATAAATGCAGCATTTCTAGTACTCCTCAGTCGCATGCCAAGCTCTCAGTGGAATGTAGGGAAGCAAACGCCAGCTTTGAGTTCAGACCAGAACTAGAGCTCCAGCTCCAGTGTTTAGCTCTATGTCCTGGGGCAAGTACCTTAACGTTTTGGAGTCTCAGGGCTCTGCACCCGCCAGGTGAAAACAATGCCACCACATCCTTGCAGGCTTATTCAGATGAAGTCCCTGGCAGAGAGACTGGCACAAGGCAGACCTGGAGTTTAATCAATGACAGTTCCCCTCTCCCTATTTTCACTCACTAGAGCCCTCCAGTCTCCTAAGACAGTGTGCCCTTGAAAATAACCTTTAAAATTCAGAAATGCCAGGATTCCTAAATCTGATGCTGCCAGGGAATGCCAGGGTATTAGCAGCATATAACTTCTGAGATTCCGGCTACTGTGTTCATCACTCAGAAGGAAAAGCTCAGGTTCAGGGAACAGTCAAGGTGTCTTCAGCTGCACGGCCAAGTGGTGCCTTGAGGTGCTATTTCCTGCCCAGTCTCCACAGGGCAAATGACGCTGTTTGTTTTTTCAGGAGGAGAAGTCACCAAACCGCGGTTTGCTCAGTTCTTTCATGGAAGCCTGGCCAGTCTCACTATCCGCCCTGGCAAAATGGAAAGCCAGAAGGTGATGTCCTGCCTGCAGGCCTGCAAGGAAGGGCTGGATATTAATTCCTTGGAAAGCCTTGGCCAGGGAATAAAGGTAAGGCAGGAGCTGGCATCACCCCCAATAACAGTGATTCATGATGGCCAGTGTGCGCAGTGCCAGCACGCGCCGGGAAATGGAGCGCGTGCTGGAACGTTACACAGAAATGAGTCCATGGCAAAGGTGCGGCCATGAGATGGGGGGTCCGGGGAGAGATTTGTAACCATGACTTCCACAATGGACTTCTGCTGCCATCTTCTGAAACTCCTAGATCAAGCCCTTGTGTATAGTCAGTCCACTACACAAAAGCAGGCACATGTTCAATATCCACCTGGAGGAAGTTGTTGTATTTCATTTGTGCATTAGTTGGCTGTTCTGTTGTTTATTTGGCTAAAGGAACTGAAGGATGCAAGGAAGCATTTCAAAAGCCTAAAAAGTAAACAAAAACTTAGGACCTTGTAAAATACAAATTAAAAAGGAAAGTGAAAACCTGGGTGGGGTAGAATTAGAAAGCAGGTATGGAGGTCATTCTGTCTTACATTGTTGCTTCAAGGCCCAAGAAACGTGGGCCGGCGTGGTGGCTCACGGCTCACACCTGTAGTCCCAGCACTTTGGGAGGCTGAGGCAGGTGGATCACAAAGTCAGGAGTTCGAGACCAGCCTGACTAACATGGTGAAACCTCATCTGTACTAAAAATACAAAAATTAGCCAGGCGTGGTGGCATGCACCTGTAATCCCAGGAGGCGGAGGTTGCAGTGAGCCAAGATTGCACCACTGCACTCGAGCCTGGGCAATAGAGCAAGACTCTGTCTTTAAAAAAAAGGAAGAAAAAAAAAAAACATGAACAGTTCATGATTTGTATTGTTTATACAAAACAATTTTTTGCATGATTTGTATTGTTTATGCAAAATAGAAATATTCAAGTGATCTCAGAGAAGCAAAGCTTCTTCTGACTGAAGCTTCTCTCATTCTCTCATTTGAGAGAAGCTCCTCCTGATGGGGGCAGGGAGGGATGTGACTGACTATAGCCTCAGCAAGCACCCCGACAGCCAGGGTCACTTTCTAACCTCACCTGGACTTACAGAGCGAGCACATGTTGGTACCGGCCCACGAGGTCCTGAATAAAGAGCAGAGCCAGTATCACTGTAGCTCCCACTCAATCATAGTGGACCCCAGTGTGAAAAGACAGTCCCTTGGCCTCCTCTGGAAGTTGGAACAGACCAGCCCATGCCTCCTGGAGCACAGGACAGCCCCATGAAGCCCCAGCAGCTGTGAGGATTTCTGTCCTTGGTCATTTCTCCAGAGAATGTGACAAAAGCAGAGGTTTCTCAGCTGGCCTAACATCCCTGACCCAGCACTGCCCATGGGCAGCTCTGCCCTGCCCTGGGCCTGCCTCTCCCGGACAGGGAGTCACCACTCCAACAGAAATTTCCAGATCAGTAGCCTACTGTTAGTCACACTCTGGTGCTGGGTACCCTTGGAAAAGCTGGTGGTCTGAGACTATTCTTTAAATTGCAGCCACTTCCATAATCATTCCATGGACATGCTAGTATTCTGTTATAGGCTGGGTTCTGAGATGTGAAAAGAAATGGCCTGAGGAACTCTGTGACCCAAGCAGACATTTGTAATCCAGTCGATGACTACTACAATGATTATGAACACTAACATTTACTGAGGGTCTCCCAAGTGCCAGACACTATTTGTTCTAAACGTTTTATGGGTATTGATTCCCAGAACACTCTCATGACAAAGGTACCGTAAATACTCCCATTTTGTACATGAGGAACGAAAGACTGAAGGAGGTGGGAACTTGCGTAAGATCCCAGAGTTAGTGATGAGTAGATTCAGTCCCACTCTGGAGATCCAGAACGTTGGAGAATGGCAGTCTGGGAAGGCTCCTTGAATGAGCAAATGAGGCCTGAGTAGAATGTTTAAGAATAGGTAGGAACCAGCTAGGAAAAAGGCAGGGGTGGAGAGGGGATGGGAAAGAGGGAAGTCATTCCAGGCAGATCCAAAAGTGTGAGTGATGAGAGAGGGCTGAGGAATAGCACAGTATTCACTAGAACTTCAACAAAGCCAGTGTTATGAGTCCCAAACTGAAAGAAGAAAAAGGTGGAAGGTGCCAGAGAGGTAGGCAGAGGCCACATCAGAGGCCACCTATTAACCATGTTTAGGTGTTTATGGTTTTTTTTGTTGTTTTTTTTTTCTGTCAACAATGGGGAGCCACTGAAGGCTCAGGCAAGGGAGCATGATCTCAGCATATGTGGGGTTTAGGATGGAGACTGGGGAAGATGGGAGGAGTACAAAAGTCATGGCAAGGCAAGATTGACTTTCCAGAACAACATTTAGCATGGATTAGATACACATAGTTGCTCTCAATAGCTAATCACTTGTCATTGGCACAAGCTCAAAAGACCAACTCATATGGGAAAGGCCAGTCTTGACGTACTGTTGGTGTTGCTTCCTTAGAGTTTTGTCAACCCAGTGATGCAAAAATCTATCCTCCTAGTGTCTTCTCTTTTTCTGATTCTAAATTTACTCTTTGCATCTGCATAGATCTTCTCTGCTCTGAACTGTTCCAGGCAGGCACAGTTTCAGGGTACTGGGCACCATAGAGCAAAAACACAAAGATGCTGGGCTCAAAAGTCATGCCTTTTTAAAATTATAAATTTAAGAACCATAGCAATTTCTACAGAGTCATCATAGCCTATGAAAAGAAGAGGTGCTAAAATAAGTGGCACAAAAAACTGTGGGGACTGAGGAGGCTAATCTGACTTTTCAAGATACTCCCCGTTTATAACCAAGTCACTGCAAATGATCCTCTTCCATTCCTAGGGCGTGGCTGGTAAGAACTAGAGCACCGTTTGAGAAGTTAATAAGATGCCCAATTTACAGAGCACCCACTGGGGGCTATTTTATGTTCATTATCCCTACTTCTCACAACAAATTAAATACTATGACCCCATTTCAAAACTAAGGGGACTGGGGCTCAGGGATTTGTCCAAAATCAGTTCATGCTCTTTCCTCCATACCAGCAACTCAGATTAGAAGACATTCTTGCAAATCATTAAAACAAATATCCTTCCTTTCCTGCCTCCCTTTACCCCTCATGTCATTTCTGAATAATGACTATTATTTTACTTGCCAGTTACTGCCCTCCTCCCACCTCTCTGGCTGGTCGAGGGAAGTGAGGCCCTTTTGTCATTAAGGAAATTCTCTGTCTGCTCACAGGGACCAGCCCATGTTTCTTGCTTTACCTGTCTTCTGAATCATACCTATTTATGAATATTTCTCCAGCATGTCTAGAGTCCTAAAATGGTTTAGTGGCTGCTGTATTGTATCCATACAAGATACTGTGGAATCACCACATTCCTGAGTAATACTCTGTTCTGATTTACATAGCACAACCCCTGCCAATTTGTCATCTCCATCGTGTGGAAGAGTGGGAAAGAGCAAGAACTTCAGAACTAGACACTCCTAGGTTCAGATCACTGCAGGAGGAAAAAGGTTGAAGGTGCCAGAGAGTTAGGCAGAGGCCACATCAGAGGCCACCTAGTAATCATGTTTAAATGTTTATGTCTTTTTCTGTCAACTGATTATTTATTACCTGGGTTACCTTGGGCAAGACACATTAATCCTTTAAGCCCAAATCTCTTGTGTATAAAATATTATTTATCTTGTAGTGATGTTGTAAGAATTTAATTATATATCTAAATATACATTTATCTATATATACTATCTGAATAAGAAATTCCCTATATTTTAGTATATATATAATATATCCTAGCAAACCTAATAGACTCTCAACAAATCACAGTTCCCTTTTGTGACAGAAGAACTTCTAAAGTGGCAAATCTTCATCTGGCCCCACTCACAGAAATGGTTCAGCTGAATCTGTAAGTCAGAAAAATCAGAGTCCAAATTTTGACTCTGTTATTTACTTAATATGGACTATGGGCAGGCAGGTGTCAGAGGTAGCAGCAGGGTTCCTGTCAGGTCATAGCCAGCCTGCTGTCAAGGATCAGGCCAGAGCTTTGATCAAGGACTTCCCTGATGGTCCAGCCTGCTGGGTGCTAGAGATGCCAGTCAAACCTCTAAGAAAAGCCCCTAATAAGAAGACCATTCTGTAAGGGCTGTCTAGCACCTTCTTGGCTCAACGAAGGGCTATAGTCACTGCACAGATACCCAAGGGCGAGTGAGCAATGTCACCCTTTGCTGGGGCCCCTAGCATGCCACCATCTCCTGCCCTGGTACAGATGCAAGTACAAACAGGTCCCCTGTTTAATCAGACACCCACTCACAGAGCTGGGAATACCACAGTTTAAAAAAAAAAAAAACACCCAAAACCTACTCTGGAGGTTTTATTGACCCTGCAAGAACTATGCTGCTGGCTAGGCCAGTGTCCACCTTCATGCTCTGTGGCAGACCTCCCAATGCTGTGGCACAGACCAAGATATTAACTGGAGATCCAACACACTCTCTCTCCTGGTCTCTCTCCATGTGGCTGCAGAGGGATTGTGCCCTCTGCTGACTGCCACAGGATACTGCTTATCCGTCCCTCTAGAAGAACCTCTTGATTTTCCTATGCAGCCCTCATGTGAGGCTCAGAGACCAGCCTCCACTGCAGACCTGTCATCTACCTCATGCTTTTCATGTGCTAGACCCTGCAGTGATGCTGAGGAAGTCAGTAGCCCCTGCCCTTGAGGTGTTTACAATCTGCTGGAGGATGCAGACAGATGGATACACAGATAGTAACAGCACAAGACTGCTACAGGAGGATGGTGCAGGGGACGAGGCTGGAGAAGAGGGGCAGAAAAACCTTGTAAAACATAGATGGTATTTGTAGAACAAGGACCTTGAGTCTTCTCAAATCTGAAACTGATGACTTGCGAATACTTCAGAACTAATCATGACTCACTAGCGTGAGGCAGCTCCAGGGATAAGCACTCTAAGCTGGTGAGGCCTTCCAGGCAAGAGAGATGCCAACTCAGACACTGACTGTGGCATCAACCATGCATATGCCTGGGGGCTCCAGGATCTAGCACCAGAGAGTGGTGCTCATGGCCAGATGTCACGGCTCAGAGAGACAGCGCTCCTCAGGACTTGGAAGGACAGAAGAGAATTGTGTCACAAGGACACAAGAGCAGTGACGGCTGGGGCACAAAGACTCAGTGCTGGCATAATTGCAATAGTAAGAATGATCATCTAAACTATCATATATTTAATATCTTGTAAGTGCTAGAAACTTTATATATATATATATATTATTTCATTTAAGACCCACACAGGTAGATATTAATTTCACCATTATTTAAACGAGGAAATGAAGTCTCAGAGGGGAAAGAAAATACTCCAAAGTGGTACTTTGTACTAGAACTGGAATATTACAGTCCACAAAGTCCATGCTCTTTTAAAGATGCCTTATGACCTTGGGGAAGTGAGAATCAGGCCTGGGAAGTGCTAAATTTTCCCAAACAGGCTAAGCTGTTACAGTAGCAGATGATCCCCAAACCTCAAGCCTCACTGGCTTAACATGACAAGTTTAGTTTTCTCCTATACTCAGCTAGGGAGGTGGGGTGGGGTTTCTGCATAGAATGCTGCAAGCCACTGAACTGGAGGAAAAAAAGAGGCTCGAGCATCTTACAGGGTTTTTCACTGCCTCAGCTCAGAAGTGTGACACCTCACTTCCTCTCCTGCCCATTGGCCAGAGGTAGTCATGTGACTCTGGCCACTTGTGGCACAAGGTGGCTGAGAAGTGTAGCCTCCACAATGCCCAGGAAGGAAAGGAGAACAGGGTTTGGTGAGTACTGATAATGACTCCCACAGAGCTTCACTAAAAAGACAAAAGAAAGAAGTCCCTTTGGGGAGTGACAGGAGATGACAGTGAGTACAATGTAGGCTGGAGACCCTTCACTCATTCATCTTACAGGGTCTTTTAGAACACTAAGGCTAAGTTCTGGGATTCAGGGATAAGAGGCTCATTCAGAGGTAAGAGGATACAATCTCTGTGCTCATGGGCTACTGTCCACTGTACTATATAGTGGTGTTACCATTTTGTAAGTGCTATAGGAGAAAGGCATCAAAGCCCAGTGGGAACCAAAATGAGAGAAGCTGGGAGGCCTTATGAGTAGGTAACAATGAAACACTCTTGATGATTGAAGGTGACAAAGATTGAGCTATCAATCCTATTGGCTAGGGGACACCATGCAAGGGATTTAGGTGGTTCAGTGTCACCAGTAGTGCTCATGAGACATCCAACTCCTGTTTCAGTCCAGACACAGAACAGAACACCCTTATAAAGACATTCAAGTCAGATCAGGGAAAAGTTAATAAACATTTTTCCTTAAACCTATGAAAAGATATACTCAGCTCCTCATACTAAGAAAAATACACATTAAAACTACACTAAGATGGCATTTATCATTTATCAGATTGGCAAAAGTCCTGACATCTGATGGCATACTGTGTTGCTGAGGAACTGAGAGAAGCTGCATTCATACCCTGGTGGAAGGAGTATGCATTGATATAATCTCTAGCAATGGAGAAGTTGGCAGCATTTATCCAAGTTAAAAGTGCATATACTCTTTGACCTAGCAATTTCACTTGTAGTGATGTATCCTACAGATGTGTTTGCACAAGATTATTTATTCTAACATTGTCAGTAAAAGTTTAGAAATAACCCAAATGTCCATATTAGGAAACTGGTTTTAAAGATTACAGTTTATCTATACAATGGAATACTTATACAGCTACTAAAAAAGAATAAGGAAGCTTGTCATGTATTGATACAGAAAAAGCTCCAAGATATGAGCCAAGTAAAAAATAAAGTGTGATACATTATGTAATGAGATAGTTTTGATATAAGAAAGAAAAAAAATGGAAATCTATATTCACTGATTATATATTTATAAGAATGAGTATAACTGTCAGGATAAGCTAAGTTATACTACAGTAACAAATTATTTAATATCTAAGTGGCTTATACAACAACATTTTATTTATTGCTCATGCTTCATGTCCATTATAGATTGGCTGCAGCTCTGATCCATACCTCCCTCACTGTGAGATGCAAGCTGATGGACCAGCCCCTAATGGAATGTTGCCAGTTTCATGGCAGAGAGAAAGGGATGTTGCAAACCATGAACTGGTTATTAAATCTTCCATAGGGTATGAATCAAACAATATTTCTGCCCACATTTAGCTGACCAAGCAAGTAACATGACCACTGCTGAGTGCAACAGGGCAAAAATGTATATCCTGCAGGGAAGGGTACTATAAGTCATATGATCAAGCTTATTAACAATAGGGCAGACATGTATAAGTCTCTCACGGGAGGGGAAGCAACTAATTGTGAACAATAATGCAATTTACCACTAAGAAACTAACATAATAATGAGTACTTGTGGGATGTGACTGTGGAAACTGAGTGGATGGGAGATAGAAATAAGATAGCTACTTTTCACCTAGCACATGTGTACATTTGAATCATGCGAATATATTAACTATTCAAAAGAGTAAATAATTTTAAGTTAGGTAGCTACTTAAAAAAGATCCATGTCTCCCTTTCCTGTGCCATGAGCATTCAATATATAATCTGAATTCACAGATATGTTTCTGATATTTTATCAATAGCATTTCCTAATAATTCTTGCTCAGAAGTGTGTCAAAGTCAGTAATTCAGGGCAGTACAAAGGCAGTTTTCCCTGCTTCATTCCAAGAAGAGTAACTGCCGTGGGGACATGGAGAGGGCAAGAGCCTATGTCCAGCTTGAGTACCCACGTGACTCAGTGGGTAGAATCGCCACAACATGGCCTTTGGCAAGTGTGGGATACCAGGGACTTGGGATGAAATGGATAGATAACAGGGCTGCTGGCAGATGTGTAAGCAGCAGGTGAGTGCAACTCATGGGAAACCAGTGTGTAGCCCTCGAAAAGCAAGACAAAAAATTAGATCTGAGAGAGAAAGAAAACCATTAACTGAAAAATGAGCTTGAAGGTTGGAAGCTAGGAAGATAGGGCGTGGGTCAGAAAATGGAGTGCAAGATGAATTTGGGGAGCAGTTCAAGGCCAAAGACAAAGAGAGTAAAAGGAGTCAACACGCAAGTTCTGAATGGTCCACACCACCCGGTAGCACAGAGCATGGGCCACTGTTCGCCAAGGGCTGGGCTGTGAGAGCACCGTGGCTGGGTTTTCAATATTCAATCCTGTGGCTCAGACCGATAATACCAGGCACAGTTCCTGGAGAGACTTCATAGGAGAGGGCCTCAAAGCCCACCAGAGAGTAGGAGGAACTGCTTGAGAGTTTAAACACTACCATTTATACACACAAATGGGTCACTGGCAGATGCTTTAGAGGTGTTTATGGTGACCTTTGGTGCCCTGTATGGACAGGAAGTGCTCCCATAAAACCATGTACATCCTGACCATTCTCTTCCATGATGCTCACTTTTGTCTTCCAGTATCACTTCAACCCCTCGCAGTCCATCCTGGTGATGGAAGGTGATGACATTGGGAACATTAACCGTGCTCTCCAGAAAGTCTCCTACATCAACTCCAGGCAGTTCCCGACAGCGGGTGTGCGGCGCCTCAAAGTCTCCTCCAAAGTCCAGTGAGTGGACACTGATCAGCCTGGGGCCAACTGAGGCAGCAGGGTTGGTCCCTTGGGAATGTTCCCTTGCAAAACAGGATTTGCCTTTCTTCAGCTGTCCTCAACTTCTGCTATTCCTATGAGGATGCCTCAATGGATCTGTGTTCTTGTTTTCTTCTTAAGCAAGATGTTCTGTTGTTTTACCACCTTGAATCCACCTTTCTCTATTTTACCCTGTTTCTTATCTAATGCCTTACTGCTTTCTATAAATTCTCAGAGAGCTGGGAATTTGAAGTGATCTGGGTATGGGTTTGAAGTGTTCTGATTTAAGGGCACAGTGCCTGGTACATAGGAAGTGCTTGACAAATGTTTATTAAATTGAATTAAGTTAACCAACCCAGCTATGTAGAGTTCCTAAATCCCATAGGTATGCCAGAAAAACAGAAGGCATGGTTCTTGTTTCCAGAGATCAGAGTTAAATTAGAGGATTACTGAAGCCTTTGGATAACTCACTCACTGGCCTATCAAATCACTTCTCAGCCACAGTGGCTACCTTGGAGGGCTGCTAGGAGGGGGATCCCAGAAAAATTCCTGGAAGGTGGAGGTGCAGTCATGCGGCACCTAGAGTTGGGAGAAGGACTCAGAAAGAGAGGAACAAAGATGGGAAGGATGGGTCTGCTGACTGCCACATTGATGGAGCCTGAGACAGGTGCCAGAAAAAAGCCTGTAGATGGTGGTTACATTCAATAGTTCTGGAACAATGGAGGAGTGCTCCACCATTACAGGCTTAGGGGTAGGAAGCAGGTACCTCCAGGTCAGTGCCACATTAGAGTGAAGATGAGAGAACAAACTGGCCTATGTCCTGCCGAGACCAGCCTTCTGCAAACTGAAGAAAGGTGAGGAGTGCTGTGGGGCTGGCCTGGCACAAGCAGGAGAAAACTGGGAAGAGGAGGAGGACACCACAGCTCCCACATTTCACCCACCCACAGAAGAGGATAGAGTAGCTCAGCATGGAATCCATCCAGACTATCCTTTCCTCGGGAACTGTCCCAAGGCATGGAAGGTGATGGCTGTCACCAGCTGAACCCCACCCCCAGAGCATCTGCCTGGCTCTGGGGTCCCCCATTTTAACCTACATCTAGATGACCAGGGGAGAGGGCTAATGACATAATGCCCCCATGAGGTCTGACGAGAGGTTCAAATCAACCACTGTTTACTGAGCTCAAACCATGATGCAAGCTCTGGTCAGCTTCTTTTCTATATATGTCTGCATTTAATCCTTTACTGTAGGACAAAATTATTGTTATCCCCATTGTATAGATGAAGAAACTGAGGTTCACAGGAGTTGAGTGCCTTGTCCACATTTACCCAGCCCAGAAGTGTCAGAACCAGGCCATGGATCCTTGTCTGTCTCAGACCTCACTCTTGTGGCCACACCATTTCTGCCTCCCAGATAATTGTGTGGCAGTGTATCAGGAGAAAGGAGGGTGAATATGATAGCACTTTGCTCTTACACCTAGAAAAGGCACACGTGTGTGATATCCACATAGAGTCATATCATATAAGCTGACGCAGGAGAGTTTAGCCCTGGGTTCTCAATTAGTAAGATGGCTGTAACCGACCAGGTAGACAACAATTTGCTTACGAAATACTAAAGCATATAACAAGCTGTTGCTATCTAATTAATGTTGCCATTGATTACTTTGTTAAAGGATAATGAAAGGTTTCATGGTTATGTGTTGCGCGTATAGAAAATTCCCATTTCTCTCAGGAGCCAATTTTTCAAGTCCCTAGATCACTAGTGGTTTTGATTATAATGTGTCTTTAAATTTGAATGTCTGTTGACATCCTCAGAGACTTTTAGGCAGTCAGGATGCCTGGTTAAGAACTGGAGGTGGCAACCCCTTATTCCTGGCTGTATGACAGGTGGTTTAATTGCTTGCTCATCAGTGCCATGACCGAGGCTGTTTTCCCAGGTGCTTTGGGGAAGACGTATGCATCAGTATCCCCGAGGTAGACGCCTATGTGATGGTCCTGCAGGCCATCGAGCCCCGGATCACCCTCCGGGGCACAGACCACTTCTGGAGACCTGCTGCTCAGTTTGAAAGTGCCAGGGGAGTGACCCTCTTTCCCGATATCAAGATTGTGAGCACCTTCGCCAAAACTGAGGCCCCCGGGGATGTGAAAACCACAGGTACAGGTGCATTTGAGTTTGTGGGGAGGGTGGACCTTAATTTTTTCACAGCCATGAAAACATACTTCAGAACAACAGCATTGTTCATGTAATGTATACATGGCATAAATGTATACATGGCAGCATAATGTATTACAGCAAAACAGGCAAAGAGCTATAAACAAACGAAAAGAATATGAGGGGAATGAATGGTTTAGCAATGAGGGATATGAGGTTGGAGGGAATGCATTTGTGCTAAATGGTTAAGTGAAAAAAATGCAAGACACAAAGTTACATAGTACTTACAGATAGAATGATCTCAACCATTTAAGAAAAAAAAAAATAGAAAAATGCCAAGAAGGACACACACCCTATGCTAACAGGGTTATTCTATGCTAACGGTTATTCTTTGAGAAGCATAGTGAGAGCCAATTTGTTTCTGCTTCCCTTCCATTTCTGCAATTGCAAAAATGTTCTATAGTGGGCATATATTATTCTGATAATCAGAAGAAAAGCTAAAGACATATTAAAAAAATATAGCTGCATCTTTATATATACACCATAAAAGTTAGGTCTCATTCAGTAATATTACTGTAAGCGCTCAGAAAACTTTTAAGTTGTTATTTCCAACAACTTCATTATTGGAAAGGTTTTTCAGTGAAAGAGGAGTAATTTGAATTATCCACCAAAGGGAAACAGTTACACTGAAAGCTATAATATATGCTGCGGGAGGGGAGGAGAAGAGAAGGAAGGAAACCGGGAAAGGAGCAAGGGAGGGAGGGAAGACAACTTCCCTTTTGTTACTCTGAGGGATGGGGGAAATATAAATTTAAGAAGTGTCCTTTGCTGCCTCTTCCAAGAGAATATTTTCAACTCTCTCCTCCCCCTCCAAAAGCCACTGCTAATGATGTGCTGGTGCCTCTGGTCCTGAGTCCCCAAAGAGCTGCTGTTCTAATAATCTTAACTACCTATTGACTTAAACCACCCTAGTCCCTAGTGAACGGGGTACTCAAGAGACAGCCCTTCTTAGCTCATAAAAAATAGATGGTGTTTTACCACCTGTCCAGGCAGGGCAGTTCCCTAGTCACAGACCAACGTGCATTAGGTTGTGTGATCGTCCCTCTTCCCCTGTTCTCATTTGTGGCTAAAATCAGACAGAAATAAAGAAGAGCCTCTGACTTCAGTGGTTGCGGGCCATGACCCAAGTGTCTGGATTTGCTACATCTGACACCAGCAAACAGGCAATGCAGGGAAGAGCAATTATCTGGGTTCACATTTCATCTTCTGTTTATGAGAGGCACAGGCAGAGCACATAGTCAAGTGTCCAAGGGCTATTATTAGTGCCTTTAAATTTTTACTCCTATTGTTGTTGGAATGGTCATTATTATGGATATCTTAAACAAGTAGGATAATGACATTTGCCACCAGGCCTCAGTGACTGACTTCAGCATCATCTGCTGCCCCCATTGACACTCTTTATGCTGTCAATACCAAAGACAGGAGGTTCCCCCAACATGCGCACACACACACACACACCCCTCCCTCATGGTCTGCTGGTTCACACCTCTGCTTTGCTCTCCGGCTGGAAGGTCCCTTTCCCTCCCTATCCCTTCATTCCTGGCAAATAACTCTGCCTTCAGCACCTCCCCAAGAAGGCTCTCCCACCACCACCATTCTGACACTCCCAACTGCTGGTGCTTCCCTCAGCACACATTTTTTAGCCCTTGGTGGTGGTTTCCTGTTTATTAAACCAGACCAGGAGACCCCGAGGGCTCATCCATGGCCGATTTGCCTCTGGGTCCCTGAACCCAGCACACTCCCTTCTACACAGTGGGAATCCAGGAAACTGCAGGTGGAAGATAATACCCATGGTGAGAGAGCCATGAGAAAATGGCAGCCGTGACACACTCCCTACCTCAGGGAGCTCTCAGTCAGCCACAGTGGGAGGTAGGAACAAGGGCAATATGACCAGACCTGACAAAAAGCCAGCAAAAAGCCTGGAACCTGTGAGAAGGCCATTTGAAATAAAGATGCACATACAGCATTGCTAATTATAGACCCTATCTTAAGCGTATGTTATTGTGCTTTTAGATTTTGCTGATTATATATGAAACCATTGTGATTGACAAGTATTTAAAAATTAAGATCAAGAAATTATATATAATAATATATAATATATACCTAGTGAGAGCAAAAATATTTTTGGTATCATTTAAAAACTTAAAAGATAATTATTTAAAATAATCCATCTTTAGTGAATTTTTTTAAATTTCTATTTTAATGTTTTATAACACACAAAGTATATTTAGTCCACTCTATAAATAAATAAATATACTTATTTAAATTATCTCTCTTCACAAGTTTTTCAGTAAAGGAGTGCAAGATCAAAACCACTTGAAGACAACTAGCCTATGATCAGTGAGATGGGGATAGTAATAGTACTCCCTTTAACGTCTATTAGGATTATATTTCCACATGCCTGGCACATGGCACATACTTCATAAATACCAATCACCTTCTTAAGATGGGATTTTAATTTAGGACTGCCAAACTCTGCCCGGCATTCAAACACTCACACATTTCTTTGGGAAATTTGGAGTCATACAATTAGACAAGGACAACTTGACTGACCAACATGCTAATGTGCTCCAAGGGGAGCACATTAATTATATTAATTTATCAAATATTGATTATTGGTTATATCATATTGACTTGATTATTAATTAATGATTCAGCTCCATTTGAGCAAGGTTTAGTAATAACTACTCCATGCTCGTTCCTGGGTTAGACACTAAGGATTCAATCATAAAAAGATAGTGCTTCTGTCCTTCAGAATCTCAGGTGGTTGGGGAGACAGACACATTAGGACCACATGGAGAAAGCTATGAGAGCATGGTGGAAGGCCACTTCTCTCTCCCCAAATGAGAGCTATTGCTTATTGAGCACCTACAATGTGCATTGGACACTGTTTTCAATCATCTCAAGACCCTTGCCTTCCTTACAGATGAGGAAACTGAGTGGTAGGTAGTTCCTCTAACACTATGCAGCTTCTCAGTGGCAGAGCTGGTATTCAGATCACATCTTTTGGCTACAGTATTCATGCTCTTCCCACTAATTCATGCTACGCAACCTCAGGGCCGCCTGGACATCTGAGCAGTCGATGTGGTATTTGGGATCACACAGACACTGCTCCTGACCCAGCCTTAACCTGGAGTGCAATAACAGAGGAGGAAGATGATTAGCAAGGACTGTTTTCTGAGCTGTCCTTCATGCCTGCGTTTCCCGTGTCTGTCTTCCTACAGCCCCCAAATCAGAAGTCTTAGAGGAAATGCTTCATAACTTAGATTTCTGTGATATTTTGGTAATTGGAGGGGACTTGGACCCAAGGCAGGAGTGCTTAGAGCTCAACCACAGTGAGCTCCACCAACGACACCTGGACGCCACTAATTCTACTGCAGGCTACTCCATCTACGGTAAGGCCACACTCAACCCCCTTTGCCCCAAGGGTGTCCTCTTAGAATGTCCTTGTCCAGGGAGACATGAGTGAGACTGCACCTGTGAAGGAGCACTGTGAAGCCCCAGGGACCAGTTGGAGATCCTTGGCCTCAAGCATGGATTTCTAGACCTTCCTCTGGCAAGTTACTCAAGCATCTTGGGGACCAGTCCCACATTCCCACTCCTGGGGAATTCTTCTGTAGAAGCTGGGTGGATGCCTTCTCTTACAATGTTTGATTTCAGCAACTGTCACAGCAACATCTGGAAGATTGAGGCAGTCTGTATGGAAAGCTTGTGCATCGGTGTAATTTTGGCCCCTCAGAGTTTCTGCACATTGTCTGCCCAACATATCTTGAGCTCTTACCCTCAACAAATTTACAAGACCTGCGAGGTCTCGTACCACAAGCCCCAGCCTGTCTCCTGTCTTCTCTTCCTCCTCCTTTTCTGCCTTCTGATGACAGGTGTGGTCTCTTGGCACAGGTGTGGGCTCCATGAGCCGTTATGAGCAGGTGCTACATCACATCCGCTACCGCAACTGGCGTCCAGCTTCCCTTGAGGCCCGGCGTTTCCGGATTAAGTGCTCAGAACTCAATGGGCGCTACACTAGCAATGAGTTCAACTTGGAGGTGAGTGGGTCCTGCCATTGTTAGGGAAGCCAAGGCTCACCCATTCCCTCATCATTCATTCAGAACTGCTGTAACTGGCTCACCTGCCACTCCTGGGTCAATAGCACCTCTCCCCACTCTTCCCAGGTCAGCGTCCTCCATGAAGACAGAGTCTCAGACAAGGAGCATGTCAACCACCTGATTGTGCAGCCTCCCTTCCTCCAGTCTGTCCATCATCCTGAGTCCCGGAGTAGCATCCGGCGCAGTTCAGGTAGGGTGCCCAAGAGGAGGGACCCTCAGGACACAGGTGGTCATTGTGACTCAAGACTATCTACTCAACAGACAGTTATGTTGCAGCAAACATAAGTGCCCAGAACTGAGGGAGGGAACCCAGCAATGGAGAAAATGTGTCCTGGCTCTGAGACACTCACACCCTCAATAGGCATTCAATACGTAAACAAGAAGTTACACAACACACATAATAGCAGACGTCACTACAAAGGGCTGGGACAAAATTTCAGGCCCAACTCAAAACTATGTCCGGTATAAAGCTTTCCATGAGCCCCTAACACACACACACACACACACACACACACACACACACACACACACACGTATGCACCATATTGCAAAGTCCTCTGCCTACATTTCTGTTTGAGCATTTGCCATATTGTGTTACCATCTGGTGGGCACTTGTATCTGTTTCTACTAAACTCTACAGTGCTTGGCTCTGTGGAAATTTCTTTATAATTTGAGGAGTAAAGCCAGGAATAAAAGAGAATTTGCATTTAATGAACACCTATACTGTGCCTATGTGGAAACTTACAGATTAATTTAATTTACGCCTAACTATTACTCATAGGATAGGAATTATTGTCCATTATAGAGGTGATGAAAATGAAGCCCAGACAGGGTAAGGTGCTGCTCTAGAGTTCTACAGCTGGAAAGTGGTAGGGCAGACTTTATCCTATGCATGGATGTTTCATTCATGCTCCCTCACAAGAATGAGCTAGGCCTTTGTTCGCCATGTCATGGGAGTTTCTTCCTTGTTCCAGTGGTCCCAAGCATTGCCACGGTGGTCATCATCATCTCCGTGTGCATGCTTGTGTTTGTCGTGGCCATGGGTGTGTACCGGGTCCGGATCGCCCACCAGCACTTCATCCAGGAAACTGAGGCTGCCAAGGAATCTGAGATGGACTGGGACGATTCTGCGCTGACTATCACAGTCAACCCCATGGAGGTGATCCCCATGCAGGGCTGGGAGTTCTGGGTGGGGCGCTTCTCATTCCACCCAGCTCAACCCTTCCTATGCCTAAAGCCGCCCCATACCCCCGCCTTCTGGAAGCACTGCCCCATCTAGTCCAGCTCCACTGGTTCTTCCTGCCTCTGAGCTCCTCTAGCCCTCTCAACCTGAACAGACCATACCTTCCCACCAACTACATTCTCTGATTTAAAATGTATTTATTGCTCTTACCCCACAAACAGAACCAGAAATTTTGTTAAGGCAAGCAAACACCACGGGGTGGCTATGCCTCGTTTCCCCCACAGTATTTAGCTCAGAGCTAACTAACCCTTAGGGACTCAGTACTGAAGTTTTGATTAACTAACAGTGCAAATTAGATGGCTTTGCTCCATACTGCCTGAAAAGTTCACTCAAAGGCTTGGAACAGATTAAAAGAAAAATATAGCAGCAATGCCTGCCATTTATTGAGCCTCCATTATGCCAGATACTGTATAGAGTGCTCTATATACACCACCTTATTGAATCTTCCAAAATCCTATAAAATAGTCATCTTCATTTACCAAGGTGAAAACCAACTAAGAAAAAAAGTAACATACTCAAATTAACACAGCCAATAGTCAAATTTAAGGATGTCTGATTCTAAAGTCCATATCTTTCCAATTAGCCAACAGCCCCCAGAATCTATCCATGAGTGTCAAGCGAAGCCCTCTACATCATGCCCTTTGCCCATGGGTTCTGGGTGATGATAGACACAGGCTTAGAAAAGGTAGGGGAAGATGATTATCCCAGCCTGGTCCCAGTTTCCACCTCAGCTGGCCTCACACTCCAATTTCAAAGGCAGTGTGCTGATGTGGCTCAGTTTCACCAAGCATGTGCTGTAGGTAAAGTGCTGAGCTCAGTGCTATACAGACTCCAGAATTTCCACCTTCAAAGAGTTGAGACTGGAGTCTAGAAAACAAGACCAGTATACCTGGAGTGGTCTGAGGACAAGGCAAGAGTGTGCCTAACAAGGGCCAACCTTGTGATGTCAAAAGTCAATGAGCTTGAGGAGGAAAAGCCTTCAGGACTGCAAAAATTAGGGAAGATTCCTTGGAGGAGGTTGGCCTGGGGGAGGCCTTGAAGAATGGGTAGGATTTGGGTAGAAGGTAGGAGGTAAAAGACAATTCCCAAGAAGTGTCAGGGGAGGGGGTGGGTAGCCAAGCAAGGAGAAACAACTTTTATGACCTGGTTCATCAACACAGAACATAAATCCAGAAATAAAATTTTGCTGGAATTATCCAAAAGCTGGAGGGGGAATTGGACTGGAAAGGAAGGAGTACAGCCTGAGGACACAGTCGGGGGTGAGCAGCAAGCATGGAAAGTGAGGACGAATAGATTTGTCCTTTCCAAAGGAATATTTTTGAGGGGAAGCATAACTGAGTCTTTGCTTAAAATGCCTTCTGCTCCCAGGGACATTGCATGCACACTTGGAAAAGAGACACAAGATCAAATGCCATCCTCTCACTGAGAAGCAAACACTAAGGCTTGGACAGCTCCATTTAAATAGGCTCCGGAAATGCCTGAAAACAAGCCTTGGCCTGAAAGGTTCAGTAAATGATGGACAGGATTGGCTTCAATGTCCAGCCCATCATTTATACCCAACAGTCTACCCTGAGTTCATGTCTTGGAATTTGCTGCTATTTCAGGCTTTTGCCTTGAACCTTCTAGCTTCCTTTTTATCAGAAGACTTCCCTTCCAGGAAGTCTGTGTCCAGGCTGAAGAGTTTGGCACTAAGAGAAGAAATTCCAAGGGGCCCTAAATGTTTCCTTAATAGATGGAGAAACATAAGCTCCAAAGTGGCCTCTGTTCAGCCCCTGACGAGCACTTCCTTTCTCTCCTTGATATCCAGAAGCATGAAGGACCAGGGCACGGGGAAGATGAGACTGAGGGAGAAGAGGAGGAAGAAGCAGAGGAAGACATGAGCTCCAGCAGTGGCTCTGATGACAGCGAAGAGGAGGAGGAGGAGGAAGGGATGGGCAGAGGCAGACATGGGCAGAATGGAGCCAGGCAAGCCCAGCTGGAGTGGGACGACTCCACCCTCCCCTACTAGTGCCCAGAGGTCTGCTGCCCGGCCCACATGTCCCTTTTGTAAACCCTAACCCAATGTATGCCTACGTCTATCATACCTCACCTCTGATGTCTGTGACACGTCTGGGAAGGCCTTCTCCAGCTTCCTGGAGCCCACCCTTTAAGCCTTGGGGACTCCCTGTGTCTCATCCATGGGGAAGTTCCAAGAAGCCCAGCATGGCCATCAGTGGGGACTTCAGGGTATACTTTGTCCTGTAGCCCCCACTTCTGCCCTAAGCTCCCCAGCATCCTGTCTACCTGTCTGCGGAGTCTGCCTTTGCTTTTTCCTGCAGGGAAGAAGGTCCACCTTTGTGTCACTCACCTCCCCAGGCTCAGAGTCCCCAAGGCCCTGGGGTTCCAACTCACTGTGCGTCTCCTCCACACAGACCAGCAGGTCCTCCTATGCTGACTCCAGGTTGCTTCACACAGGGAGGGTGGTTGGAGCTTCACACACCTAAGGTCTTAGTGCTTAACAGTTTAAAGGAAAGTCCCTGTTGAGGCAGAACTAAGTTCACAGGGAAAGGTACACACATTCTCTCTCTCTCTGTCTATCTATCTAGTTCCCCAGCTTGGAGAGCCTTTCCCTTTGCTTCTTTCTGAGGCCACATAAGCTTAGAAGAAAAGTCCTAAACCAAGAATAGGTCCTTGGCCACAAACAGGGCCTGATCCCCCATCAGAGCTATCTGAGCCTGCCTGCCTGGGCACCTGCTGCAACCATGCAGCTGCCCTGCCAGGGGCGCTCACCACACAGAACCGCAGGGCCCAGGAGGCATTCCACACAGGCACTGCCCCAGGCGATAGCCACAAGAAGCCTAGAGCCAGGAAGCAGAAGGAAATGCTAACGAGATCACACACAGGCTTCATGGTGGGTGCGGTGGGTGTGGCTGGGCTCTCCCAGGACAGAGGGGACCCTGAGGTTGGCAAGGCTCTCCCCACTCAGCCTCATGGTCCCTTATCTCCTATTTTACACTATTTTCCCTCTTGAGAAAATACGTGCTTTCCGGATGTATTAGAAATGCATGAGCTCCACCGAGTCTACAATGAAAGTTTGAAATTTAACTGCAAGGAATTAGAAGCATATTTGCAATCATTGCAGCTTCTTCTTTCTTCTGCTCATAAAAGGAGGAACACTTAGATAGAGGGCAAATATATCTGAAAACCTAATTTCTTTCTTTTTTTGATAAGGAAATCTTTTCCATCTGCATCCTAACATGCACAACCTGTGAAGAGAATTGTTTCTATAGTAACTGGTCTGCGATCTTTTGTGGCCAAGAGAATAGCAGGCAAGAATTAGGGCCATGACAGAATTTCCACGAAGCTCTGAGAACATGTTTGTTTCGAATGTCTCAGGTTCCTCTTTGTCCTCATTGTGTACGATCTGTCCCCATCCTTCACTCCTCCCAAAGCTCACACCAATTGGTTTGGCACAGGCACGGAGCTGGTCCCTAGTTAAGTGGCATTTATGTTAACAAAAAAATAGTTCAGAATATCAGTCTTTTTCATTGTGTCATCAAAACAGCTGAAGAAGGGGACTACTGCCAATGTCCTCTAGTCTGACCTCCACCCAGGGAGGACCCATGGCAGGCCTTTTCAACTTTCTGATTCATGAGAATGACCTTGTGCAGCTTTTCCCACCTCCTAAAGTGTTTTCTGCATCTGTTCCTTCCTTTGGACCTCACAACAAATCCTGTGAAGTAACTGAGACATCTGTTGTTAGACACATTTTTGTGATGAGTAAACTGAGGCTTGGTGATTCTATGTCTTGTTCAGAGTCGTTAAAATGTATAGACAAGCCCAGACTCCCCAGTTCCTCTCCTGGTCCAGGATTCTACTTAGGGGCATAGGTATGCACCTAACAGACACTGCTGCAAACCTACTATGTGCTAAGCATTCTACCAACGGCTGTGAGAAAAAGAAAAGCTGAATAAGATAAGCTCCTCCCCAACAGAGGACTTTATATTTGCAGAGGGGAAATAAAAAGGCCTAGAAATCACACAAGAGGCAAATGAAGGGAAAGAGGAGAAGTCACAGGAGAGGAAGGATGTGGTCACAAACTTAACCAGTGCTCTTGTTTTCCCCTTCTTAGGGAAAAATACCAGAAGCTGGGGTTTTGTATTCATTGAATGGAAATAGATATTTCTCCTGGGAATTCTCCCAACCAAATAGCCCTTTTCTATTAGGCTGTGTCTGTACATCCACAAGAGGAAAGTCTGTAGGACTGATTAGTTTTCACGATCCCATTTAAATAAAAAAAAAAGATTCTTTAGTTAGGCATTTAGGAGCTACTGAATTCTCCAAAAATTGTGGCAGCAAAAAGAACACTTCATATGCTTAAAACCCATTCCTTTTGAATTAGATTTTGATTTTCAATATTTAAGTCTAGTGTTTGTGAGAAAGCTTTTCTCTTTGCTCAGTCTTTTTGGTCTGGTTGGGTAGGGAAGGTGCTCCTCATGCTCTCTGGGTGGCTGCCTTATTCATAGTTGAGAGAGCTGTTAGGTAAAATCTTTACATGTTTTGGGGTTTTTTTGGTAGGGGGGTAGCAGGTAAAAGTGGCCCATGGCTAGGGCAGCAAAGATGGATAATTTGAGGAAGCATTTGGTTAGTGGACTCATTTGCAGAGAAACAGTGGTGACAACAAATCAGAGCCATTTCCCTCAACTCTGGCTATGTGAGGTCATTCTCTGCATGTCAGCTGCAAAGATCAGGCACTTGAATGAATCCGCTGGGTCAGCAGGCATTGTTCATCTTCGCAACACCCTCTTCCTCACCATGGGTGAGAACAAGACGGGGGTGGGTTATATCCCAGTAACAGAAGCTTTGGGAGGTATCCAGGTGAGCAGGGCAATGTGGCTTGCCCTCCCGCAGATATTCTGATCCCAAGGAAAAGGTGTCATTAATCAGTCTGGCATTTTCCACCCTCCATATGCTGGCATCCAGGAACCAAAACCCCTGAAGGCCTAGACACCCTGTGACCTCTCACTCAGATGTTGGCAGCCAGGCGGATACAGGCTCCTGTCCAGGAGGAACTGCTGACTGGTTTGGCCACAGCCCAGTTCATTGCCTGTCTTGCCAAGTGGACAACCAGATTCTGCCTTCCTGAGCTTGAAAATAGGCTACAACTCTCAGGTGATTCAGATGACATGGAGAAGTTGGAGGAGAAGATTGGAATGGTTAAATCCCAGTGTAGAATGAGTTGCTTCAGTGGAGTAAAGCAACCAGCTAGTTGGTAGCCTGCCTTAAAAAATACTAAACATATATCATACATTTGATCAAATGCTGTAAGCCTAGCCAAGGCCCAAATTCATCTAGATACCAAAAATGTGATTTCAGTGAAATCTCTTTTCATTACCACTTTCTTTTGTTACTGTCTGTTTGTTTGTTTTTTGAGCCGGAGTCTTGCTGCTCTGTCGCCAGGCTAGAGTACAGTGGTGCAATCTCGGCTCACTGCAACCTCCGCCTCCCACGTTCAAGTGATTCTCCTGCCTCAGCCTCCCGAGTAGCTGGGATTACAGGCATCCACCATCATGCCCGGCTAATTTTTGTATTTTTAGCAGAGACAGGGCTTTGCCATGCTGGCCAGGCTGGTCTCAAACTCCTAATCTCAGGTGATCTTCCCACCTCAGCCTCCAAAGTAATGGGATTACAGCAGTGAGCCACTGCACCCACCCCTCATTACCACTTCCTTGAATTTACTCAATCATCCTATCAAGCAGGGTTTAGACCAACATCTTTGCATTTAATAAGGGGTATCCTTTGTACACATGGACCATCCAGTGAGAGGGCTGGGGGTGGTGGGATGTCCCCCATTCTTATACGTCAGGTGTCAGCAAACTACCTGTAAAGAGGCAAATAGTAAATATTCTGGGCTTTGTGAGCCATTTGGTACCTGTCACAAGTATAGTCAGCCCTCCATATCCGAGGTTTCCAAATCCACGGATTCAACCAACCTTGAATCAAAAATATTTGGGAAAAAAATGTATAGTTGCAACTGACCTGAACATATTCTTTTTTTCATTATTATTCCTTGAACAATACAGTTTAACAGTATTTACATAGCATTTACACTGTATTAGGTATTATAAGTAACCTAGAGATGATTTGAAGAACACAGGAAGATGTGCATAGGCTATATGCAAATACTATGCATTTGATATAAAGGAATTGAGCATCTGTGGATTTTGGTATCTGAGGGGGTTCTGGAACCAATCTCCTACAGATACTGAGGGATGACTGTACTCAGCTCTGCTGTTGTAGCATGAAAACCAACAATACATACACAAATGAAGGTTTCAACACAACTTTATCTAGGTTCCATAAAACAATTTAAAAACACTAAAAAAGCATGCAGTTTGAATTTATATAATTTTCATGTCATTTTTTTACCCTTTTGACTTACATTTTTAATAATTCAAAAATATAAAACCTTTCCTCAGCCCACGGGCCATATGAAAATTAGCAGCCAGTTAGATTTGGCCCAAGGTCATAGTTTGCCAACCCCTACCACAGACGCATGGAAGTTAGCCTCCCACTTCAGGAGAAAGCAAGCTGCTCTCCTAAGCCTCTCACCAACTACCCAGTAGTCTTTGACTCCAAACTGAACAACAGGAAAAAGTGCCATCGTTTTTAATTAAGCTGTTTTACAAGTCCGTGTTCTGGGGGAAAACAAAAAAGAAACAAACCAAACACTTGTTATTTGCTGAACTGACAAACTCTGACAGATATTCCATGAGAGTTGAAAGCCTTGGATCGAGGTGACTGCCTGATTACTGAGTGCTAATTCCACTGAGGCAAGTGTTAGCCCCCCAGGCTCAGTGCCTTCCCAGCACAGCTCAGCCCATAATGATCTCTGAGCAGGAGTGTTCATTATCTCAGACTGATTTTCATTTCAGCCCTGCTCTTGCCATTGCTCTAAAAATGATCCTAAAGACTTGTGACTGTTCGAATCAATAGCAACATCATCAGTAGAAAGCCCCACCGAGCACACTTCAAAATTAGCAATCTTCTTGGCTCTATGACTCAATATCAGCAAGCAGGAAAAAAGAGGGCTTTTTTTTTTTTTTTTAAATCATACCCACATTTAAATTAACCAAATAGTTTTTACGAGAAAGTAGGGAAGTGGGTTTAGTTCTTTGAAAGAATTTGCTAGTGAAAAGTAGATGATTTTTAGGTAAGATAAGGTTTAGGCCTCTGGGGGATCCCCAAAGCCTTCTGCAGTGTACTCTGGCAGGCTATGAATGATACAGGATTCTGTATCTATATCAGACATTTATTGAGGCTGACAAGCAAAAGCCCTTGGCACCATTTAATTTTCACATAACCACTTTCCATTGTCCAGCTGCAGGCAAAGGAAATGAGCAATGAAAGTTTTGAAGTCTACCCCAATACCCTCATTTCCTGTCTTTGCTTCCTTTACTTTATAGATGTATTCTATACCTGCTCTGTAGATCATGCTCTAGTTTTCCTTCTAATGCCAACTGGAAAAGGAGAGTTGGCTTTCCAGGGGCTGTGGATTAAGAGCCAGGCTTCACTCCATCCCAGGGAGACAAAAAGAGACAGAAGAAATTACCTCCAGCAGCACCCCAGAAAGCTGACAGACATTCCCTGTGTGCAGGCGGTAAACAGATGGGAGTCTGTGTTTACAGCTATGTTCAGTGTAATTCAGCAGACCTTCACTGGGCACCTGTGATGGGCCAGGCCCTGTGCCAGCAACAGGGGAAGGGAGGATGAACAAGGCACGTTTCCCTGACCATGAGGAGCTCTTGGCCTGTCCCTTTGCAGTGTTAGGAGGCTGTGCACAAGCAGTCAGGACTTTGGGGACAGAAGTTTAGTGTTAGGGAGGCAGGATAACTTGCTTTGACAGCTACCCACCCTAAGTCAGATGACAGGTGTAATTCTGGAGGCCCTGACAAGCATCACTGAGGCAGGCCGAGGAGCTCTCCAGGGAAGTGGGCAATGTTTCCCTGAATCTTCCTCAATTCTAATCAAGGCTGACTCAGTTCACTTACGGATGAAAGCCAGTCACCCTGCCCACTGGGCAGAAATAACATGGGTGACAGTCGAGATTCAGAGAAAATAAGACAGAAGCAGTCCTTAAATATAA